AGAAAGTTTGGAAACTGAGATTTAAGGAATTAAATATTAATACAGGTGTCAGGTACGGTCCACAGGAGGGGCAGTTGCATACTCTGCCCCCCTCGTAGTACCACCTATGGATCGAAAAGTAATAGGATATTACACAGATATTATTTAAATAGAGGGCCTCACCTATAACCTAAAACTTAAATATTTTTTTCTTTTTGTAATCATCTATTTCATTACAATTAATAATAATATAATTTGTAGAATACAGTTAAATAACATTCAACTAATTTTTAGATACAGTATATTTAAAATTAATAGTTCTATACGATTATTTTAGAAAAGTTGTTTAGAATGGGTATTTAAATACATATAGGTTTACGTAGTGTTGAGGTTTTTTTTTTAGTTTAGTTTTATATTAAAATCAAGGTTGTAAAATAGAGGTGAGTAGTTTTAAATTATAWTTTATGCCTACAGAAATGTATCCAGCATGAGATTTTCTAAATATATTTTTTTTTTTGATAAAATTATTACAAATCGCCACAATTGGTTCACTATAATATCAACGTGACAGAGTAATAAATTAGATTTTTATCATATTATATAGCAATTTGAGTGCACAATATTTGTAAGACCGATTTATCTGAAAAATTTAATCACATAGATTATTGATTAAGCTATTTTATGTTTATACTTAAAATTTAAAATTTAAAATCAATTATATTTTCATGCCTATYGGTTTTCTGTAATACACAGTAATTAAAAATTATTTGTAAAAATAAGATTTAATAAAAATGAATTTAATTTTTGTCGTAAAAATGTGTGAGCTATGATGATTTAAAATTGCTTGTATTAATAWAAATATTTTTAATATTAAATTCGTTCTCATTTGAAAATAAAAATGATTTTGTATTGCCACCGCACAMAGAAAAATCCTTAAATGGCATACAACATTTGAGTATTTGAAAATAATAGTGTTTTAAGTGTAGTGTACTTAAAAATTCGAAAAGTCAGTACTTGAACAAAATAAATACACTATTAAAGGAACAAATTATGGGCGAGGGTGCTTGCTTAATCACCCTGTATATACCATCGACCGACTTATACCACATTTTATGTGAAACGTTTTTGCCAGTGACTGATATATACGTGAGGTACCTATATATCTACCGACGTTAAATCTTGCTCTGCATAGGGTCTATGTCGTCTAGTAGGTGTAAAAATAGCAACYGCTGTACTAAAAAGAACCGTTTATTTTTTGTTTTTTGGCAGTTCAACCGACAAAGCCGATAAGAGCGGTTGTTCTACGGGATGCTTTTAATATTATATTGTAATAATAACAATAAAGTACATTATAATAATATATTATGTAGTGACTATGATAATATTATCGACAACGGTTAGTAGGTAACTACTTATAATATATATATAATATAATATTACGATGAAATATTTTTTTCTCAATCATTTAAAATTTATATAATACCGTTCGTTTGGTATATTATGGAAAAAAAACCTTTTGGAGAAAACGTGTGAAGGTACGTACCTACGGCCCAATTTAAAAACGTTCTACTCCGTGTTGTTTTAAATTTATCGACATTTGAAACGTTAACAAGTTTATTATATTATTGTACCCTGCAGTACCCGTTATTCCAATTGGCAGCAATATGATAGTATTCGATTTTAGTTGTATATACTTTTCCGTATATACAGTCTGTTATACTATTGCGGCAATTGAACTTTTTAAAATTGTAATTATATTTTATACGGCACTTTGTACTTTTATACGATAGYGCCATAAATCCTTCGAACCGTAAACGCGAAATGCGGGAATAATAAATGTGACGGAAAATTGCGTTTATTATTTTCCACAATACAATGCGTATGGTGTAATATTATACTGTACGTATTTTTGCTTATTTTACTATTATGTTTGTAATGCATAGGWACATTGTAGAGTTTTAACTATTAAATTTGATTAAAAAACAGTACTTAACATGTATTACATTATAGATGCTTAATTCTTAATTTATTTAAAAAATATATATATATATACGCAAGTTTGTAATAAATATGTCATATAAAGTCAATTTTTTCTTACATTCTGTAATCAGTAAAAGTATACTAAAACAGTGCACATGTATTCTGTGAAAAACTAACGATACATGACGTGTTTCCAATAAAATTCAATAAATAGTTTTGATCCAAAAAACTTTTCATTTCTATTATTATATAAACGTTATAGGTAGGTACTTTACGTTTTGTTTACTGACGTTACGTTATGTTTTAGCAAATATCGAATTATATAGATTACATTTGGAGTGATATTGGTTTTTGTAGATATATACACTTAAAAGTTAAAACCAACAAATCCGAATGATTTTTCCACTATAAAACAAAATCGTACAATATAAAWTAATTCGAAAACGAAATTATCATTCTATTGCGTATAATATTATATTATTAACAAAATTTAAAATAATAAAATTATGATTTACGAAGTGTACGTACCTGTTCTACGGTATATATTAATGATATATCCAAATAAATAATAATAATAGCCTATTTATCTGATACTCGACCAAGATAGAGAGGAAGTAATAAAATTGTTATACACAACAAATGATACTGATTTAAACTCTCCTCCGACGATACCACTCGTAAATCGACCATTCGAATTTTCTTTTAACAAAAATATTCATTATACTTATATTATATTAAATGTTGATTTAAAAATATTTATACTTTAAATACAAAAATTATGAGTAGGTACGTTAATATAATCAAAGTCTAACTCACGAAATGTGGATCACTTAACCACCCTCGCTCCAAAAGATAAAAATAAAATGAAAACATCGCTGTTATACAAGTAACCTATGAATGTGTTTTGAGTTGTATATATTATTTGCGTAAGCAATAGTTCATGTTCAATAATTTTGTGCATACCGATTACTACTAAATCATAATATTTCGTTTCGGTGAATAATATGATGTTTAATTAAAATAGTCCAMACAAACGACCACGAGTATTAATGTAATAGTAGTGTTATATAATTTCATTGTAATGTAATATATTATATTATTATTATTATTATTATTTATGACTAAACGTACAGTACCTATACATGATACGAGCATAGACAAAGTTATTGTTGAGGTTTGAAAAAAAAAGACTAAAGAGCGTCCCGTCTRATAGAGCAGTGACACGTTATAAAACACATTCAGCTGCCAACGGTGTATGCATAAACTATTTCAAAATATAATAATATATTTTCATTAGTTTCGGCTTTAGTGGTTATTTCACCTGTTTAACAATTTTCGCGAGTGGTATAATAAAGGATCGAATTTAACCGCAATACAACCGTGATGGGTTTTCTGTATTATACGGTTTGGTATATGCCTAAAGTAAAAATGTTGCCGTTGGTTTAAAATGTTATTTATATTGTATAAATATAAATTATGGCTTAAAAAACTCGAAGTATAAAACGTGTATACGTTGAAATTTACTATGTATATTATTCTGCCATAAATTATTATTATTTTACTATCATTTTTATTTTTTGTAGGCATGGTTTTTGTTTACTTCTACTCTACAAAAATAAAACATCCCAATTTTTACCACATATGTTTCATTCTATATCGTAAAGTGTAAAATACGTTAAAGACGTCATAGTGTATGTGCCTTGTATCGATATCATTAAAATTATGTTGCGCAGAATAAAATATAATGTAAACAATAAATTATAGTCTTAGATTTTTATTTTTGAATACTACGTGATTGATTTATTGAAATGCCATAATTATACCAGTTAATCAATCAAAATCAAATATACTAAAATTGTTATGTTAAGATGTTCTAAAAATTACAACTAAAATACACTTTTTGTTTTTTTTTTCCAGAAATTTATAACTGCCATCTGTCATCATAATGTCTTCAAGTCAAAGTGGTTCTGAATTTCCAACTGCCATAGACCAACAGAACAAAAAGTTTACCACCATAATTATTTATCCAACGGGTAAAGTTTTAAATTAAAAATTGAAAGAACCTAATAATCTTATATGTAGATATGCTTTATAATTTTTTAGTGACTCCGGAGAAGATAATCATACCAATGGTATCGTGTATTTTGGGGTTTCCGTTGTTGGCGCTAATGGTAATATGCTGTTTAAGACGTAGAGCCAAATTAGCGAGGGATCGAGATCGTCGAAGAAATTTAGGGTGAGTATTATTATTGCAGTGTTACTATACATAGTGTTACTACACATAGATATGCATATTATTATGTACGTAATAGATATATATTATAAGTATCAAAATGTGTTTGTTTTATTCACTCTCAAAAGTGTACTGAGGGATGTCCGGTCCAGTAGGAAATCACAGCCACAAACCCAAATATAAGTGGTCTAAATGAGGATAAGCTTCCCCCCACTGATTAGTAGTGCTAGGTGCTGAATATTAATTTTCAAAGGTTAAAATAGTAAATATTTTTGTATGTGTGTATTAAGTAAGCTTATTGTGCCAATATGTATAGATTGTTTATATCTAATAAAAAAAAAAAAAAAATGTATATAAGTGACAACAATGTCATATACATCGGAGATCTGTGTCATTGAACATCCTTAATTGACTTAATAATTTAAATTGTTGTTCTTTTAAAACATTTTTATAATGATTATTTACGTTTATCGAGATTTTAAATTGAAGGCCGGAAAATTACGTCATTGGTTAGGTCTCCTTATGTATTGTTACTTCTTTGCCAGCTATTATTATAGCTGCTGAACAGTGGTCCWATAATGATATATATATTTTATTATGAAATATAAGTGACTTATAGGTTATAAATTAATTATAGAGTCTTTATAGCATCTACTGCGGTACAGCGCCACGAACATATTTCAACGTTAGTAATTTTCCAATCGAAGGGGAAACAGCCTAAAATTATATGCTGGCTATTTCACAACTATGGTTAACTAAAATTTTTATCCAAATATTATATAAATCACATTATTATAACATATTGTATCACAATTAATTTTCATCTTAGCTTAAGTTATATTTTACATTTAAACAAGCAGTGTACCTAATTAAAATGTAATTAAATATTAAATATTTATTAATATTAATATACTGAGATTAAATATTATTTAAGATATTTTATAAGCACTGTCTATGAGAACAACATTTCATTAGTTTTTTCTCTTTATTTTCAAATGAATATTAATTTAAAGTTTTTAAAACTGAAAATTAATATTTTTATTAGACATATAGCCTGGCCTATGTATACTGTATAATATACTATAATACTATGTACATAAGTAGAAATAAACTCAAACTATACGAAAAATAAAAATTACAATGTTTATAAATATTGCTCTTAACCATTTGCCGTTAAATCTATATTAATAACTAATTTTTTTTTTTTTTTTTTGTTTACGGCCTTTTATACCAAACATAACTGCCTCCATCTTTCACGATTTTGTGCTAGCATATGCCAATCTTCCTAAGGCAGAGAAACTGCTACATCCTTCCTGACACAATCCTCCCATCG